TTGAACATAGCTGCCCCAATCTTTCTCTTTTGGGGTCCCCTGCTGGCATTTCTGGTTGCTTGCTATTGGGGCACTCCTGTGGGCTTGATTTTGAGCCACGTTGTGTGTGTACACAACTCACCCCCACCCTCCGCTCCCTAATCACTGTGATGAGAGAGAGAGAAAGGGAGGTCTGTGGGGGGAGCTGCACAAAGATGTTTTTTTTACCTTGATGCATAGAATGCATTAAAGTAAAAAACATTTTACCTTTAGCACCACTTTAAGGTAAAAATGTTTGGGCTTTAGAACCATTTTAAGGGGTGTCTGTATATCTGCAAAATGGCTTTATCTCATTAGATTTTGGTTTGTCTAATCTTGCCTGGATGGTTCATGTTGGAACGTTCCCCTGACCCTGCTGAACATTCTTCCCATAAGCAGTTTCCTATGATGCCATCTTACTATATCCCATCGATATAATGAAAGAGCTGTACAGAACTAGCCCATGTCTTACAACCTGACTGTGCATTTAATTTGGTACCTGATAAACAAGCTGAAATTCACTTTGTGGGTGGCCCTCTTAGCCTGTCCATGTCTGATATCCTTCAACTGAGAAGGCCAGAAAATGTATGGCTAAACAGCGACTGCATCCAATGAACACATACTGTACCTGTGTTTTTAATGTAAGCCGTATACTGCAAGTACCTGTGTTTGACTTGATATTAGCCTCTAGAAGTCTCCTAAACAGCAAAGCTCAGACTGGAGGAGCAAGAAGCAGGACAAGTAGCCAATCTGCTGTGCTGCAATCCAAGGACCATGCTGGTGGAAGGAGTGAGTAGAGTGAAAGAGAGCTCATTAGCCTGATGCTTCTACATTTACTGTCCAGTAAAAGGGTGGTATGGAGTAGGGAAGAGACTGTAAGGCTGACCATACAATCTGATTGTACAATCTCCTTTAAATCCACCCTCAGATACGTAGTATAACGGTCTTCTTGATTTTCTGTTTGAATTGATTATTCAGGTTTGTCTTCATATTGCACAATTTTGGAAAATGTAAGAATATTGTACAGAGACTGTACAATTAGATTGTATAGTGCATGGCCACTTACAGTCATGTTTAGCGATTAAACAGTGTAGCGCTCAGAAAAAAGTGAATACACAACTAATACCATGTGTAAATGTAAATAAACAAAATATGTATCTCACTAAAAATCAACAAAATGAACAGCTCATGAGTGTAAAATATTTCATGCTCATAAATAAAAAGTGTAAATATTTCATGTTCATAAATAAATAAAAAGTTCATCTATGACAGTACCGTCGCCTTGTGAAAATCTTCTATAGAATAAATGAATACTCTTCAAGCAGTGGAATCAGGAAACCGTGTTGTCAACACATGCAAATGTGTCACCCTACACTGTGCTCAAAAAAAGGCTTGGCAGATGTGTTTGACCCCCATTTTACTGAGTAGTCAAAAACATCTAAATGGTATCAGATAACGTCAGTCACAGCTCCCTCCACATCATCAGATAGGACTCCTTAAATCTCGGCGTGCTTCATAGGGAACACCCACTCTCGATATATCAGGCATCCAGTTGTGACATATGGCAAGTAAAAAAAGCAATCCATAGTGTAAAAACCATCAATAAAAACATTTATTAAAACAAAATTGCCCTTACAAGATACCAGGTATGAGGTTTTGTACAGGGCTGTTTCATACCTGGTGTCTTGTGCAATTTTGTTTTAATAAAATTTTTTTACGCTATGGGTAGCTTTTTTACTTCCCATGTCACAACTGATTTTTAATGAGATACATATTTTGTTTATTTACACTTTCACGTCGTATTAGTTGGGTATTCACATTATTTTTGAGTGCTACACTATTTTATGGCTAAATTTGATAAATTCCAGTATTAGGATTTTGTGTTAGCTGCTGGGTTATGCACTTTACACTTGCAGTCATGGCCAAAAATATTGGTTCCACTGCATTTCTGTCAGATAATGCACCATGAGGCATTCTCATGTTTATTTCTTTTGTTTATATTAGTATGACAGAAAAAAGTAGAGAAACAAAAAAGCTCAATCTGACACATTCCACGGAAAACCCCAAAAATGTACTGGATAAAATTATTTGCACCCTCCATTTCATATTTGGTAGCACACCCCTTGGAAAAAAATAACTGAAATCAATCACTTCCCTTAACCATCAATGAATTTCTTACACGTCTAGTGGAATATTGGAGCGCTCTTCTTTCACCAACTGTTCCAGGTCTCTCAGATTGGAAGGGTTCCTTTTCCCAACTACTGTTCTGAGATCTCTCCACAGGTGCTCTATGGGATTTAGATCTGGACTCTTTGCTGGCCATTTCAGTACTCTCCAGAGCGCTTTGTTTGAAATCATTTCTGGGTGCTTTTTTGACGTGTGCTTTGGGTCATTGTCCCGCTGTAAGACCCATGACCTCAGACGGAGACCCAACTTTCTGACACTGGGCCCTACATTGCACCCCAGAATTCTTTGGTAGTCTTCATATTTCATAATACCATGCACACGGTCAAGACATCTAGTGCCTGAAGCAGAAAAGCAACCCCAAAACATCATTGAACCGCTACCATGTTTGATTGTAGGGACTGTATTCCTTTCTTTAAAGGCCTTATTTCTTGGCCACGACTGTGTTATTCATCTGTACCAAAGAAAAAAACAGGTCTCTTGCTCTTTACTCTTGTACTTTATGATGTAGGCAGGTGCTGAGGAGTGGCACTGCTGCACTGTCAGGTTAAAGGGCAAAGAAATAGGCAGCGAGATCGCTAAAACATTTCCTTCAGAGGTAAAGTAGTCACGATTGCTCTTGTGTACATCTAGTGCTAGGTAAACCTTGCAGAGGACTGCTTTCTCTTCTGAACCAGGTTCTAGCCACCGTTTTGTCTGATGACACAGTTCTGAGTTTTAGGCAGCCATCTTGTGCCTCAGAGGAGATATATAAATCCTGTGGTCATGTGTGGTCATGTGGTGAGCTGTGTAGTGTGGGGAAAGTAGGTAGGAACAGACACACTTTTCAGGGAGAGACAAGCTTAGCCTAGGGACAGGCTCCTGTGGAGAAGGAATGGTTTAGGGACATCCTGGACACCTCCTTTCCATACCCAGTGTTATGAAAAAGAAACTTCTGCACACTAGTCTGGCACAAGTTTGCGCTTGGTTGGAGTGAAGCATTCCTTCTAGCACGTCTTGTTATTTAGCTACAAACAAATCTGCTTGAGGAAGGAAGCCTCTAGTTACCTATGACATGTAAGTAATGCATTTCTACTGTACTACTGAACCTACTTTATATGTGATGGGGATATAAGCCTCATTGAAAAATTTGATTTTGGAAGAAAGTTTAAAGGATAAATTCACCTTTCATGACATGTTACACTCATATTAAGGGTGTAAAATGTAACATTTCACTGTAGGGCCCCGCTCCCCCAATCTCCCGTCGTGACAGCTAGCTGTCACAATTTAAAAGAAACAGGGCTGTGTGCGGCCCTGCCCACCCTGCTATTATTAATTCACAGAGTTCTGCAAATGGGAAACAAGTTTCGACAGCCTTTGTGGCTGTTGGATTGTAGTTCTCAATGAATTACCATTGCGCTGTTGAGAGCTGGGGTAGTTCATTGATTCTTCCTGTCAGTGTAAAACTGCCTGTACGAGGGGCGAGCACACAGATTACACTGACAGTCTGCAGGAGACCTGCATGGCACCAGCAATCTGCTGATCGCTGGTGCAATGCTTTCCAGGCTCCTACAACAAGAGAAAATGCACTTTTTTGTTTTACCTGTGCATTATTTTTTGCTAAAAGGTGAACTTATGTTATTTCAACTATTGATTATTTGTGTAGCCAGGTGCTTAGCTACAGAAGGGGCCACCATAAAGACATGACTCTTATGCTGGCTTTCAGTGCCATTCAGCATCCATCCAGTAGAGGGAGCTGGTGGACATGAAGGACTTAAGAGACTTTGATGCAGGCTGCACTGAACTTTTGGAAATGTAGTCTGTGAAGAGGATCTTGGATAAGAGCAAATAGAGAGACAGACTGCAACTCCCAGATATATGCTCTTAACAGGTGGACAAAGGGGCAATTTTCTCCAAGGGCATAGAGAAAGAACTTTCTCTTGCTGCAAGGGGACCAGAGTGTGCACATCGCTGTTCCTGTGCACACTAACCTGCTACAAGCCTGCGACCTGAGAAGGAAACCAGAGTGCTGTCAAAGTGGAACGTTACCTTGTAAACAAATATTTATAAGTCAGCAGCTATACATAGTGTAGCTATGCTGGCTTTAAAAAAAAAACAAAACACACACACTTACCTGTCTCAGAGTACAGCGATGTTCTCACCTAATGCAGACCTTTGTTCTTCTTTCTTCAGTCCCCAGCGCAGGCATCTTAACTGTGGGCAGCAGACTGTGACCCCTTGCGGCTTCACAGCCAGATGCCCACTGCACATGACTGAGCTGCCCTGTGCCCTGTTGTTGATCCCGCAGTTTCTTGGGATCTCTGACATGTCCCAAAAGCTACAGGAGAGGGACTTCAGCATCATTCGCCTAGGTAGACAGAGCAGAAGTGGGAGCGGGTATCTTATTTTGACAGATACCCGCTCCGCCCCTCCAAATATGGCAAATGGGGGTGGGGAGAGAAAAAACTGGTACTTCCCCTTCTGGGTGAAATTCTGTTTTAAACTGTGTGCTTAAGACCTGATGCTAAAAGGTAGGAAAGTCTACTTCTTGCAAGGTCGATCATCGTTTCTGGAAAGCATACTTTGGTGCAAAACAAGAGGATTTCACCAAATCCTTGCCTGCCTACAAATATGTTTGAACCAGCATTTTATGCTCAGCACCATCAAGGGTCCAGTCTCTGCCTGTGTAATCTTGTTCCAGTGACAGCTCACTTCCCATTCTTTGATCAAGATAGTCTAATTTCTACTCTCACAAGGTTGCATTTCTTGTTGCTATTATCTGTGGAAGGTGAGGTTCTGAGCCAGCGGCCTTATCCTATAATTACCGTATTTTTTCGCTCCATAAGACGCACCTGACCATAAGACGGACCTAGGTTTTAGAGGCAGAGAACAGGAAAAAAAAATTCTGAACTAATGGACTGCAGACATAGTACATGAGATGACCAGAGACTGCGGACATAGTAGAGGAGATGAACAGAGACTGCGGACAGTACAGGGATGACCAGAGACTGCGGACAGTACAGGAGATGACCAGAGACTGCGGACAGTACAGGGATGACCAGAGACTGCAGACATAGTACAGGAGATGACCAGAGACTGCGGACAGTACAGGAAATGACCAGAGACTGCGGACACAGTACAGGAGATGACCAGAGACTGCGGACAGTACAGGGGATGACCAGAGACTGTGGACACAGTACAGGAGATGACCAGAGACTGCGGACACAGTACAGGAGATGACCAGAGACTGCGGACATAGTAGAGGAGATGACCAGAGACTGTGGACAGTACAGGGATGACCAGAGACTGCGGACAGTACAGGAGATGACTGCTGACCTTTGGGGAGGGAGGGGGACCGGGTACCTCAATTTGACAGGTACCCGCTCTTACTTCCGCGGAGTTGTTCTTTGATCTCACCTGTTCCTCTATCCAGCCGCGCGCTGTCTTCCCGGCTTCTGTAGTGTGGGCGCTCGGCGGACAGCTGGATGCCCAGTGCGCATAAGCGAGAAGCGCTGCGCTTTGTGATTGGTCCAGCGGCTTCTGGGATGTCATGTGTCCCAGGTACCGCCTTACCATTCACAAAGAGCACCGCTTCTTGCGCATGCGCACTTGGGACCCGGCTGTCACGCACACTACAGAAGCCGGGAAGACAGCGTGCCGCTAGATACAGGAACAGGTAAGGTCCCACTGCAGAGCTGAGCGGCCGGCCCGGTATTCTGACATGGCAGCGGTGGAAATACCGGACTGGCCGCTCCATATTCGCTCCATAAGACGCACTGACATTTTCCCCCCTTTTTTTGGGGGAAAAAAGTGTGTCTTATGGAGCGAAAAATACGGTAACTCTTTCTGGTCACAAGAAACTCTTACACGAGGACAAGGTGGTGTTGAGGCCCACAACTTCCTTCCTACCCAAGATAGTTTCAGCCATTTATCTGAACCAGGACCTCATTGTTCAGTTCTTCTGCTTCGTTCCATTTATCAGTAGGAGTTCTACCTACATTGCCTGTATGTACACTGCTCAAAAAAATTAAAGGAACACTTTGAAAACACATCAGATCTCAATGGGGAAAAATATCTTGTTGGATATCTATACTGATAAGGACTTGGTAATGTGTTAGGAACGTAACGATGCCCCATCGTTTGATGGAAATGAAAATTATCAACCTACAGAAGGCTGAATTCAGACACCACGAAAATCAAAGTGAAATAAATTATGCAGCAGGCTTGTCCATTTTGCTGAAATGTAATTGCAGCAACTCAAAATGATAGCTTGTATGGCCCCCCCATGCTTGTATGCATGCCTGACAACATTGGGGCATGCACCTAATGAGACAACGGATGGTGTTCTGGGGTATTTCCTCCCAGATCTGGACCAGGGTATCACTGAACTCCTGGACAGTCTGAGGTGCAACCTGGCAGCATCGGATGGACCAAAACATGATATCCCAGAGGTGTTCTATTGGATTTAGGTCAGTCGAGCCTGGGAGCCATTCAATGGTATCAATTCCTTCATCCTCCAGGAATTGCCTGCATACTCTCGCCACAAGAGGCTGGGCATTGTCGTGCACCAGGAGGAACCCAGGACTCACTGCACCAGCGTATGGTCTGACAATGGGTCCAAGGATTTCATCCCGCTGATACCGAATGGCAGTCAAGCTGCCATTGTCTAGCCTGTAGAGGTCTGTGCGTCCCTCCATGGATATGCCTCCCCAGACCATCACTGACCCACCACCAAAACGGTCATGCTGAATGATGTTACAGGCAACATAACATTCTCCACAGCTTCTCCAGACCCTTTCACGTCTGTCACATGTGCTCAGGGTGAACCTGCTCTCATCTGTGAAAAGCACTGGCCGCCAGTGGTGGACCTGTCAATTCTGGTGTTCAATGGCAAATACCAATCAAGCTCTATGGTACTGGGCAATGAGCACAGGGCCCACTAGGGGACATCGAGCCCTCAGGTCACCCTCATGAAGTCTGTTTTGGATTGTTTGTTCAGAGACATTCACACCAGTGGCCTGCTGGAGGTCATTTTGTAGGGCTCTGGCAGTGCTCATCCTGTTCCTTCTTGCACAATGGTTTAAGGACCTTCTACAGCCCTGTCCAGCTCTCCTAAAGTAACTACCTGTTTCCTGGACTCTCCTCCATGCTCTTGAGACTGTGGTGGGAGACACAGCAAACCTTCTGGCACTGGCATGTATTGATGTGCCATCCTGGAGTTGAACTGCCTTTGCAACCTCTGTGGGGTCCAGGTATCACCTCATGCTACTAGTAGTTACACTGACCCTAGCCAAATAAAAAACTAGTGAAAAACAGTCAGAAAAGATGAGTAGGGAAAAAAATGTCATTGGCCTCCACCTGTAAAACCATTTCTGTTTTGGAGGTTATCTCATTGTTGCCCATCTAGTGCACCTGTTCCTTAACATCAAAGCATCTGAAACTGATTAACCCCTTTGCGCCGGCCGCTCACAAATGTGCGGCCTCCCGGCGTCTGGGCCTAGACGCCGAGCGGCTGCACATTTGCGTTCATGTAGCAAAAAACATATGTGCTGAGAGCGCGTGCCCTGCGCGCTCCCAGCACACGTGTGGTACTCACGGAAAGGTCCCGGTCCGCAGTTTCGATCGGTACCCTTCCCGATCATGTGACCGCCGGGATGACGCGTCTCGGCGGTCACGATTCCTAAACCACGCCCCACCCACCCCGCCTCCCGGCGTCTGAAACTCTTAAAGGGCCGGGAGGCGCCGGCGGGAAGGGGTTAACAACCCCCTCTGCTACTTAACTGACCAGATCAATATCCCAGAAGTTTATTTGACTTGATACTATACTCTGATTAAAAAGTGTTCCTTTAATTTTTTTGAGCAATGTAGTTCTGAATTCCTGATGGTCCCTGTAAAGGTGAACTAGCTTCCTAATGGGTGCCACCCTGTCCTGTCAAAGCACACTCACAAGATCAGTAAGTGTTTATTCGGCATCGGGGTACTGTTTCTCAGATTTCAAAGACTGCCGCCTGATCTTCTGTTCACATATTCTTCAAGTTTTTTTTGTGGGCCTGTTTTTATTGACCTTGGGTGTGTTCCTTCCCTCCAATTAGCATTCAGAACTCTTCTCACTAAGCTCTGCAGAGTGTAACTTCAGCTCTCCACCCCTTTTTTTCTGAATTGTCAGACAAACTGTATAAATTCAGCACTTTGAATGGATGTAGAGAAGAGAAGACTGCAGACAGACAGGTACAACTTTTGTATGATGATTTGTTTCATCTGTGTATCACCTGAGGCAAGTAATTTCACTGGGTAAATGTAAAGGTTTACAACCACTTTAAAGATTTTGCAGATGCTATGTGCAGGAAGAAAGACATATGTAAATATTGCAGTTGGATGCACGACTGCCAGTTCTAATTACTTGTGTAATGTGTATTCAACTGAGAAAAAAAATTAGACAAGTGCCTTCGTTTGGAACTTAAAATGTTTTTTTAAAAAATATATAAATTATCATTAATTTCAGTTTACTTTTTTATTTATCATATAATTTAAATTTAAAGGTTAATTTTTTATTTTGTAAAATAACAAAAATGTCATACTTACCTGCTCTGTGTAATGGTTTTGCACAGAGCAGCCTGGATCTTCCTCTTTTTGGGTCTCCCGCAGGCTCTCCTTGCCCCTCCATTCTGACAGGTGTGCCCCCACAGCCAAGCAGCTTGTTATGGGGGCACCTGCTGCTCTGTGTGTCCATTCATACATGGAGCCACTGCCCCTCTACTCATTGGCTGACTGGCTGTGATTGACAGCAGCAGGAGCCAATGGCTCCCGCTTGCTGTCTCAGCCAATGAGGAGGCAGAGACCTGTGACAGCCGAGGCTGTCATTCAAATCGCTGGATCACGATGAGGCTCAGGGAAGTATTGAGGGGGCTGGAGGCACTACTGCACACAGAAGGTTTTTTACCTTTATGTATAGAATGCATGAAGGTAAAAAACCTTGAGCCTTTACAACCACTTTAATTTCTATGTTGATGGGCCCCTGAATTTGAAGTGCCCCAGGCCCCCCCAAGGTCTAATTCCAGCACTGTATACAGGCTGTGGTGAGGATTTTCACCTTGATTGTCCCACTCCTGCTACGTATACAAACCCAACAGTTGTGCAGTAACACACAAAATAACCTCTGTATTTGTGAGATATATCCATCTAGTGAATTTTTTGTAATGAAACTGATGATTTACAATTGACTGGGAGATTATTAAGTCTCACTTCTAAGGCTGTAAATTGTAAAATATTGTCTTGCACTTACATATTTGTCTCCTTGCAAACTATTGAGAATGACTTGCTATTTTACAAAGCCCCTTTTACTTATATGATCTGTACCATGGTATTTTTTTTTTTCTTTTTAATTGACTTCTGAGGACAACTTCACCTTAAGTATATCTACAGAGTTTAAAATCTTATATTCATATCCACATGGTGTTTCAATTATTTATAGTCTACTGCTATTAATCTGAATGCTTTTAAAGTTTTAAACCTACTGTGTGAGGATCCCTACACATTTATTTTCTTGAATTCTGTGATATGTATTCACTATGCCCAGTGAGTAGGCACTGCTGTGTCACAGGATTCACAGAGCCTGCCTTCTGAGGTGCTGAGAGAAGTTTCAGGTGGTGGAGTAAGTACAAGAATCCAAGCTTGCAGGCAGCAGGGTACCATGGGATAGATAGTCCTTAGAAAATGAAAGTAAACAGCAGAGAAGAATCTGCAAAGCATGCAGGGAATCCAAGAAGTTGTGGAAAGAGATGACCAGCAGACATGCAGCACTCACAACATGAAATATGTTTAAAGTAAGATTATTTTGCATTGTCAAAATAACTATTGTCTTTATTGCTATTACAATGCTGATGTTATAAAAATTGTATGCTGTGACCATAGATTTACTTTAGATAACACAAGCCTTAGGGGATGATCTAAAGCAGGGGAATGATTCCACGCAAGCTCATACTGACCTCTAATTACCTTCTATTCAGCGAGTTGCCATTCAAATAAGGTGTAGAGGTTTCTTTTAGAGTATCACACTCCTGATACTGCATTATCGTAAGATTTAGATATTCAGCACATATTCTAACCTCTGTATTTCTGGGATCCATTCTTCTAATGAGTTTTTTTTTTTTTTAATGTTTTAATGAAGGTGATGGTTTGCACTTACATGGAGATCAAGAAAGTCTCATTTCAAGTGCTGTAAGTAGCTACATTGTTTTTTGATTGCTAGTGTCCAATTCAATCCT